TAACGGTCTGATCAACAAAACTCGCAAGGTCAGGGTGCTTCGCGGGGACGAGATAGTCTACGATGGTAAGCATATCACAAGCAGCTCAACAACGAATAACTTGGCCGAACTAATTTTCCACAATAGGCACAATGGTTTCCCTCAAGAACGTCAAGAAAGACGTCATCGAAATGCGCAAAGACACAGAATGTGGTATCGCTTTCGAAGACTGGACAGATTTCGCACCTGGTGACCATGTCCAGTGCTACGAAGAGATCTCTGAGAAGCGCCATCTGTGAGATACTCAGTGATCTTAACATCTGTGCGGTCGTGATGACCGCTTGTATTATTTGTTTCATCTAGCACTCTCCATTCCCCCATGATCTTCATTATTTTGTATTATATTTTCCTTTTTCTCTCGACATTGTTGACTTGCATTCAGGGCCTGGGCGTTGTTGCATCTTTATGCACTAGGGACCGGAAAAAAGACATAAAATCAATGTCATTAAGGAGGATGCTGCTGTCGCAGCGCATGTGTTAATACACAAATACCATGGCCGAATGGCCACATTATCGTTCACTTCTCTTATATATAACAAGAACAGTCGCCTGCTCGTACGACTCCTGTTTTTGACATTGTAGGACTTTAACATGCTGGGACTATAGCGGCCGCTTTGTTGGACTCGTGCGGAACTGTCGAAGTCGAATTCTAAATACCCAGCTAGCTCAAGGTGATGAGAGACGCGATATTTAAAGTATATCAAACATAAGTTCTTTCATGTGTTCATTTGTATGTCAATAATGAAGGATATAATATCCATTCGTGATCCAACGCGCCAGAGTCCGGGCCTTCCTACCCCAAGGCAATACACACGAATCTTGAATGGAAAAGAACGATACGAAAAAGATGCTGAAAACGCTACAACTGATACAAAACACCACCAGCTTCCGCAAACTTCTGCTGGTACTCCTTCAAGCTCGCCCACTGGCTCAATTCTTCTTGATCCCGCTCATAATCGCTAAGATAGCTCATAGCGCGGCCGTTCATCTGCGGACTGACGCCGTCGGCAGGACTGGCTGCATCACCCATGGGAGAATGGCATTCTAGTCGGACAAGTGTCTCGATGAATGCGTGCAGGTAAGACTCCGCCTCTGTGGCAGTGAGGATATGGCCTGGTGGGGACGTCATTGATGATGGCGATGGCGCCGCAGCAGTTGTGAGGTTTGGGATTTCGGTTGTGGATTGATTCGGTCGGTGGGAGAGGCTGAGGAGGGTGGATGCTACTTGCCGGATTTTATTGGTCTGTTGGAGTGTCATTTTTGTTAGTTTGATACACGACAAGCGGTAAATGGCGGTCTATAACGCACAATACTTGCGCCGTTCGGCTCCATGTTCACTTCATTCACTGTTCGTAATAGCACAAAGAGATCTTTGATGACCAGCTTGCGCTCTTCGGCCATCATACGGCCGATATAGTCCGTGCGTGCATGGGTGTTTGTTTCTGACGGGGCTGTGCCAGTGGGAGTCGCACTCGCACTTGGTACTGAATTGGGTCCTCCTTCAATTATAATATGTGGCGTGGTGCCGCCTGGGGTAGTGAATGTAGGTGACATTCCATACTTTGAAAACGTTTCGAAAAGGCTCCAGTACTTCTCAACCAGATAAGATCTGGTGGATAGCTGACTAGCGTAAATATTGGCTTTCTGGATCTCATACTGTATAGCACGTCGTTCTTGGTGGATGTGATCATTCGAGTAACTGAAGACTGTATCATCTCCGCCAAGACCTGACAAACCCGCCGGGGATATGTGTTCGGGATGGCGGAGAGACAACTCAGCAGCAACATTGCTTAGTGCAGATTTTGCTTGCTTAAGACAGTCCCAAATGCTGTTGCGCTGGTGTTCCCAATCAAAGATTTGACCGCTACCAAATGCTATTTCCCAAGCTAACAGGGCGGTATATGAGCTGTAGACGCGGACATTTGCGTTGAATCCGACTAGCTGTGAAACTCGGTCGGATGGCTGCGGCTCAGCATGTGTTGAGAATAAAAATTCATCGTCGATCTCCAGCGGGAGTGGTGGATAACGGTCCGTTGGTGTCTCCGGAGGAACATGAACCTTGATGTCTGAAGAGCCCATCTGGTGTAGAGTCTGATATCCGACAAAAGTGACATAGAACAGACGCCGTCCGAGCTCTTGGGTGATGAGGTCGACGCCTTGGCTTTCCGTGAAACTATGTGGTAATTGATCATGCACCGTTGCTGACGCTGATGGTGGGCTGGCGGGCCCTAGTGTCGAGAACGAGCGGTTGGTAGTGGTCGGAGACCGGCATAAATCATACACTTGGAGCATGACTCGGCATTCTGACAGGTACACACGGCATCGGCGCATGTTGTAAATATACCCAGAACATATAGCGAGAAAATAGCTGATCGCCGCGTCGTAGACTGTGGCGTTGCGATCAAGATATCCGGCCCCGCGGGCTTGAATAGCAACGTCAAGGCACCGCTTTACTAGAGCTATGGAATTGGGGAAAGCGGTGCGTTCGGCTTCAGTGTTGAGCCGAAGTTTAGGTCGTCGAGGAAAGGAAGCCACTAGCAGTCCAATCATTGATGCCAAGAGTGCCAAAAACGTGTGGTTGGTTACATCTTCCCTGCGCTCAAAGGCTGCTCGAAAAGAAGGCTCATGTGGAATTGGGACCAAAGGATGGATGTAGGTAAAAAAGTCATCGAGCAGCATCTGCATAGTGTGCAAAGAACAAATGGATTCCACCGAAAGGGGGAACGATGCAGATTGAGGGTTGGTGAATGGCGTTGCCAGGGGAGTAGTCGTCGCCACAGGATAGTCCGCCGGGCTCAGCGACGCTACATCTTCAGGCTCCCGCTTTTGTTTCTTAAGTGCCTCTGCATGGCGGTTGGGAGGCCCGCGGCGTCTGCTTGGTCTTTCATAGGTGCAGGGAATATCCAAGCTAGCGCATGACCGACAAGGCGGCCCACCGGTATCACACTTGCATAGAAATCAGTAATTTTCCGCAGATTATGACAAAAAAAACCCATACCTTCACTTTCCGAATACTGCAGGCATCGCAGGCCTTGCGCAGCCTTGTTTTCAGGTCCATGAGCAAATTGCCGATATGACCCCACGAACCGTCAGGTCATGTTTAATCCAAAGACAAGTCAGAGCATCCAGACAGGCTTCCCTATGAACCAAAGGAATACCGAAGTCCGAGTCCCGAAACTCGGAAATAAGCCAATAACTTTAAAAGCTGAAGCTCTGGAAATCTCGGGGAAGAGATCCGGATCTCTTATTCGAAGTCCGGGGTCACACACTTCCGGATTGCTAAGCGGGTCAAACCTCGGGGCTTGGAAATCTGGGGTACTTGAACTCTGTCAACGCAGCTAACTATCAGATATTTTTGATGCTTTGCTAAGGATAAACCCCAATCTAATATCATAATGTGAATATATTCGCAAAAAAAATAATCGCTGAGACGCAGTCACGTGCCCTTCATGATCCAACAAGCTCCAGACCCTTTTTCTACAAAATTAATCAGAGGGAATTACAATTGAATTTGACAAGAATCATTGGGCTGTAGTCGGTTTTTCCTTAATGTCATAGAGGGGGTCCCCACCATTCGCCTGGATTAGGAACCAGGAATCGAAGATTAGATGCATTTTGCAGTAACGTCGGTCACCCGAAAGAGATGTATCTTGTATAGATCATGGCATAATATCGTCATGGTATTGCTCACCAAGTCGACTGGACTGCTGGTTGATAGCTCGTCGCTTGCGTTCGATATCCGTCACCCAAAGTGCCGAACCAGCAGCCGTGGTCATCAAAAATAACATAGAGAAAGGAGGAATCAATTGGAGGATCAGAGCCACCGTTCCAAAGCTAGATTGTGTTAGACCTCATGTCGACAGAGTGGATTAACATAACTTACGTAGTGTACTGCAGCTGACGCCGTCTAATACTTTCCTTTCTCTGCTGCTTGGACATGTCCAGTAGGTGAAAGTAACGCCAGTGGTGGAAGGGGCCAGCACGATAGCCAGTCAAAACTAGAAACATTGGAGTGCCAGCCACCGGGATTAAGATAAGCGGAAGCAGAATAATAAACTCGGCTATCTGCCGGAACGAAAATGGAGAGTACACGGCACTGGTGGTCGGCGTACCCAGACGCTTGGCCGGGTTGCCGGGCTCGGGATAAATGATCCGCGAGGTGGTAACAAGCTCCTCCTGGCCCTCATTCACCAAGACTGCATCAAAGATATCCACTAGAGTCTCATCGACAAAGAATGCCTCGAAGAGTGCCGCAACGATCGCTGCGCCTTCACCAAGCACCAGAAATGCGCCGCTTACCCATGCCGAGCTGCCCTGAAAGATAGCAAGGAAGGCGACCTGGGGCAGGTAGGTGAAAAAGAAAAGGATGAAGTATATGAAGGATGAAAGGAGGACGATGGGGAGAAGGCGGGCCTTGAAGAGAGGCCATAGGAACCGATTTGACGCAAAATAGTAGATTCCCTATGTAGGTTAGTCCTGAAGTTTAGACAACTCCCAAAATAACATACCCAAAGAGGATACAGCCAAGCAGCTCGGCTAGGATCTAGGAGTCGCGACATGGCTTGCAGGTTCACAGCTTCAAAGAAACCCTACCAACGGCGATGGACGAGTTCGAAAGCAGGCAGCACCTTATCGATAAGACTTCACGTGATCCATCAGTATCCGTCTGGATGACTAAGCCGGTACTATTTCATAGAGAAATTTTTCGCCGAGCGCCCTTTTCCTTTTCTTCTTCACATAAACTGAATTCCTCCCTATTCACTCTGAACTTTTGTTACAATCACTGTTCTGGAGGGGAAATGGGAGGAAAGACCAAATCTGCTGGCTTACCCCAGACTCTTCTACTCAAGCGTGGAGCGTTTGGAATATAATCAGCTGTACATTCCTATTTTTCAAGCCTGTTGGTGTCTGGAGCCTTTGGTCGAATTTCAATGTTGGACGCCTCGGTTTAAAGCCGATGTCTATGGAATTTCGTTCACAATGTGCTCCAGACTGTGTACAATGACCGTTGGCCGTAGATCTGGAGCCATGGCATCCTTCCATCCCGTACCAACGCGATCAACCCGTATAGCTTGCATACCTGTAGCGCGCACCCCGACAATGTCGAAAGGGTTGCCGCTAATCAGCCAAAGTTTGCTCATCTGCGATGGGTCTTGGCATGTTTGTTTCGCTAAGCGTCCGTAACCTGCCTTCGATGGCTTATGTTGCTTGACTTCGTCTACGGTGACGAGATCTTGGAAGACGCTCGCGTGTGGCGCAAGGTCCTTGGACCGCAATACCGAGTTGGATACCATAGTTTTCGTACCGTTGGAGAATCTCGCAGCTTGGATGATTAGGTCTGCAGCTATATGGGTCAAAGCTGGATTCACGTCCGAAATGTAGAGAGACTGTCATGAGCTTTGCATCAAGTGTTCATGGTGTCGTCGCTCAGCTGCTCGTTGTCGGTCAGCGCGTGCAGTAGGGAGTTACGTGTGATGGCTGAGAATTCTTCATAGCGGCCTGTTGGTCGTCAATAATTTGGAGCGCCAAGCTTAATAAAAATTGCTTGCCCATGCTGTTCAATCTTCATGTGTACTCCAGTTGATACCGCCTCCAGAGCACGGAGATCGACTGTGCCTTGGCATTGTCATAGTGTTTCTCTAGTTGTTTGGCGATCGATTCAGTTGACAGTAAAGTGCCATACAGGTCAAAAGCGACAACAAAAGCGACAACAAAAGCGACAATTGTCTTGGCTGTTATGATGTTTCTTAATGACCTTGGAATGGGTAAGCGGTCAAGTCAAGGTCTACAAGGTTGAAGAATAAGTTGATGAATGATGTCAATCTTCCGTGGGGCAAAACAGACTCTGCCCAACATCCTCTCTTGAAACCAGGTGCAAGGCCACGGCCTTTTCTCCCATTTGAGTCCCAATGGCTTCCAATGAGAACTATGCTGTATTCCGCGAGTGTCTGTCTAATGCCATTGTGGCCTGCTCTGAGGAAAAGCCAAAGCCAACGCGACGGAAGCCAAAGGGCAAGCGCAAAGACGTAGCGACAGTGACAACAGTGCCCACAGGGAGAGCAGATCCAGAGGAGCTCGCTGAATTTGTTGATGTACATACACCCAACCAGACCAACCCAGCGCAAAGCAACCAGCCCTCAGGCCCAACAAAGCCTACACACTGAAGTCAACAACTAACAAGACCCAAAGCTAACAACGCCCAGTTCCTAGCCTCAGAAACCTTCACCACCTTCCCGACTCCCCTCCAAACCCTAAGCTACGCAGCCATCCAACACGACCCAGCCCTATCAACCCTCTACATCCCCCCAGACGCCGACACGCCCCTCCCACGCGCCACGCTCGAATCATTATTCTCCCCAATCCCAGTCAGCGTAACTGACTCACTACTTGTCTATGGCATAATCCCCGACGCAGCAGACCTGCTGGACTTCCTCACGCCCGTGCTGACAGAGTACACATCGAGCGTGACGAATGGCCCACCGGCGTGGGCGAGCACGCGCGCAGACGCGTGCGAGATCTGCGAACGTGACTGGATCCCGCTCTCGTATCACCATTTGATTCCGCGCGGTGTGCATGCAAAGGTTGTTAAGAAAGGGTGGCATGATGAGTGGATGTTGAATAGTGTGGCGTGGCTTTGTCGTGCTTGTCATAGTTTCGTGCATCGCATGGCGAGTAATGAGGAGCTGGCTAGGGAGTGGTTTACTATTGAGAGGATTTGTGAGAGGGAGGATGTGCGGGATTGGGCTATGTGGGTTGGGAGGGTTAGGTGGAAGGCCAGGTAGAGGTAGTTGATGTATATGTGCGATCATAGTATTCGATTGCAGGCGTTTATCTGAGACTTGAAGGGATATCTCATGGAAATAAACACACAACCCTATATGGGGCTAAGTTGACAATGATCTTTTGGAGCTAGGTGTTGGGTATACGATAGCAAAAGCTATTCAAGGTATGTACATCGCCCCGCCATCAGCAGCACGCAAAACAGGTTCTTTATGGTTCAGCCTGAATATAGCTTCCTTGTATTAACTTGTGGTTTATAGGTTAAAAAAAAATAGTTGGACATAAATAGTGGGCGATGCAGAGAATATATTCTGTGAGATACGAAAGAAAATAATCCCTCATAAAAGAAAGGCTCGATAATTAAAAATAAATAAATAAGATAGACATTTTCCTCTCAATATTACCGTTAATCCCGAGTGACAGTGGCAGTAACAGTCTCAGTAATGCGATCTGTCACCGTCGTTGTTTTTATCTCGGTCAGAGTCTCAGTGATTGTGATAAAGCCAGACGGCACAATCGGATTCACACTAAGTATGCCTTTGTCTGGTTTGGAGGTCGTGGCAGCGATATTGGCATCCACGGTAGATGTGGGATCTGCTGCGTGTGGAGCTTCCGCTGATCGTGTAGTAGTCGACCCATAAAAGGTTACACGGAGAGTTTTCGTGGAAGTGACGTGGACTGTCACTTTAGGAGCAGCAGTCTCACTCGGAGCAGTCTCACTCGGAGCAGTTTCACTAGGAGCAGTTTCACTAGGAGCAGTTTCACTAGGAGCAGTCTCACTTAACAACGGAGGAGATGACGATGTTTTCGAATAAACAGTTACTGGAACAACACTTGTGGAAGTGACATGGACTGTCACTGTAGAAGCAATTTCACTGGACGGCAACAAAGGAGATGACGATGTTGACGAGTAGACTGTGACTGGAACAACACTTGTGGAAGTGACATGAACCGTTGCTGTAGAAGCAAGCTCGCTTGAAGACGGCAACAATAAAGACTCAGAAGACAACGATGTAGGTGGGTAAACTGTCAGAGGAACAACACTCGCGGAAGTGACGTGAGCTGTCATCACAGGAGAAATTTCTCTTGAGGACGACAACAGCAAAGACGAAGAAGGAAGCGGTGGTGCTGTCGAGTTGACAGCCAGAGGCACAACTGACGTTCCATTGGCATGGCCGGTCCCTATAGGCGCTGCATTCACACTCGGAGGGCCCCCAGTTGGGGCCAGCGAGACCGATGAAGTAGGTGATGATGTTGGGTAAACAGTCTCATAAACGACCGATGTTGCAGTGGAATGAATGGTCACAAATTTCAAAGACGTAGTTGTTGGTTCAACGGACGGTGTTCCCGTTGGTTTTGCTGGCGACACCGATGAGTTGTTGACACTGGCTGCATGATGGACAATGCTGGTAGAAAAGGGACTTGGTGCTCCTTTGGTCACATAGACAATCACAGGCTCGGTTACAGTCACCACTGGCTTGGATCCTGACGTGGGGGGCTGTACTAGCATGGATTTTGCCTGCGTAGAATTCGCTAGCTGGATGGGACTGGAGGTTGGGAGCATGCGTGTGGATGTAGAAGAATTTCTACTGCTTGCTCCTCCTAGGGGCGCAATGGCTCCCAAATCTAAACGACTAGTTGTAGCCACTATAGGCACCGTAGGCACCGGTGCTATTGGTGGCTGTATGGCCGTAGAGGCCGATATTGGTGGTGTGGTCGTGGCAGCTTTGATACTGCTTGCTCCACCTAGAAGCCCAGCCGATGAAGGTTGGGGTGCACCCGGTATCACCAAAGAATCGAGGGAGGGTGCTGTGCTTGACATATAGATGGGGACTATATAGACAGGTAAGAGACTAGTTGATGAACGCAGCGCTCCTGGATTTGTGGATGTGGACCAGTTGATGAATTCCCGAGTCGCAGTGGATGCATGAGAGGTGCTGGTTGGCTTCTGGGTCGTCGTTGGCTTCTGAGTGCTGGTTGGTTTCTCTGAGGTCGTTGGTTTCTGGGTCGTCGTTGGCTTCTGAGTGCTGGTTGGTTTCTGAGAGGTCGTTGGTTTCTGAGAGGTCGTTGGTTTCTGAGAGGTCGTTAGTTTCTGAGAGGTCGTTGGTTTCTGAGTGTTGGTTAGCTTGATACCTTAATGGCTTAGAAAAGGGGAAAAGTACTATTGGCTCGTCGTTCGTGAATGGGCTCTGGGTAGGCGCCGAAATAGGCCCCGCAACAGGCGTGATTTCGGTGATACCGCCAGCTCCACGTCGTTCGATATCCGGCAATAAGGGAAGAGAAGAAGTCGGCTCAGGTGCCTCCAATGGCTGAGGCAGCCAGCGAGATATCGGGCCAGCCGATGCCATGGATGGCAAAAGAAGGAATAAAAAGAACTGGCAGCGAAACATCCTGATTTAGAAACGAGAGTGTTGGAAGTGATCGCCAGGATAAAACTTCGAAAGCGAAAGTAGGACTGTAAAGAAATCTGGGTGTTCAGACAGAGATATAATAGATCGCTCGAATGAGATATAAACAGTCACACATATAGAAAAGCATGGCCAAAGAAAATATTATGAAATTAATGTGTATACAAGCCCTGGGAGGCGTCTTGACGGCTTGCAAATGAAAGAATGACTGGATCACTAGGGACCACAAACGCGAAGGGAAACAAAAGAATGGGGCAAGATAAAGCAAGCTGAGGCTTTAACAGGAAAGAGATTCTGTCAAACATCCATCGAGGATCCTAGCTGGTATATCTGCATTTTGGGGTTTCATAGGCCGAGTTGGGCTTGGGCTTCCTGTCAGTCACCCATTGTTCCCAACCTTGGAAGTTTTCCTCATAAAGCCCAGTAGCCCAATACTATTAGTCCCAGAGGGAACCGCTATTGCCAGGGGCTCTTTGTGGGACGAAATCTATGCTAGAAATAGATCGCGCGACAAAGAGATGTTGCAGTAGGCGCCCAGCCCTGGTCGATGACGCGTGGTGATTGGCCAGCTGCAGGCGCAGGACCACTTTATTATTTTACTGAAGATTGCATGTTGACATATGGACTGAGTATATTTGTAGAACGAGAGTGCCTGGCCATTTTATTTGCTACGTGTACGGGCGCGTAATATGGGAAATAATTACTGTGGCTTGGTTACTTCGGGGATCATATACTTTGGCAATTAGACTGTTCGACACCTTCCATTCAACTTATCACTCCACCATATTATAAACGAGTCAGACTATGAAGTCTTGACCGTGAAAGTCCCACCAATGCCCTCGAATGACGAGATCTCACCAAGGGGGCTCTTTGAGTCGCCATAATAATGCATCCGATAGGTCCCAGCCTGCAGGGGGGAGGCAGTGTCGACGCTATAATACTCATCCTCAATCTCCCATTGAATTGTCACTTCACTCTCGCCAAGGACTTCATTGGTCCGCTTCCAGTTAAAGACCAAATTCCAGTCGCGGTCATTGCGCACGACCTTCCATGCACCGGAATCGCTTTTTCTTTCAACTGCAGCGTAGGTCGATTCGAGGTGCAGATTGTTGCGAGGATTAGCGCCCACAAAGGTCGTCTTGACAATATCTCCGGGCCCATAGGGCCCAGCCCCCGGGTTTGAAAGCACGTTTCCGAAGTGCTTGCCAATGGGCGCTCCGTCATACACAACCCCCGTAATGAAGCTCAATGAACGGTTTGTGTTGATCGGTGGGGTGGGGCCAGGTTTGATGGCTGGAAGTTTGGCAACTTGCGAGGAGCTTCCCAAATATGGTAGGTATGTGAGGGTCAGATTGACATAGGCTGCCAGTGTGTTTGGGCCGTAGAGTGTGGAAGCGCCCTCGTAGCGCTGAATGTTGTACTCTTCCTCAGTTGTCACGTAGTGTGCGTAACTGTTTGACGGGGCTCCCAGTACCACTAGAGGGTCGGAAACAGAAAGATGATCCTTTGCTCCTTTCGCAATAGCTTCCTTCCAGCGTCGCCCAGACATTGTGGTAGCTTCGCTAGTAGAGATAACGAGGAACAGCTGACCCACTCGCAAGACCTGGATGTCAACAATGTCTGCGGCCCATGCATAAGGCTCGGTAAGAGTGCCGATATCCAATAACACGTTCTTGGGGCTTTGGCACTGCTGCTGCTTTTTGCTTGGCTGGTGGATAACTGCACGCGCAACTTTCCACAGGGGGTTGTCTCCAGATGGACCAGTAGCATTCTGGGTAAAGTCAAAGGCACCAGGTCCATCCGTAGTTCCAGCGGCAAAGGAGTACCCCATAGCCGCAGGACAAGTCGTCAGCGTACTAGAGTTGAATGGCGAGGGGAAAGTGTAGCCATTCATGTCTTGATACACATGGAAAGCCTTCACTGCCGAACTTCCAGTGATTTTGATAGGAGTGGTGTCCATTTCTTCGTAAAGCTTCTTTGCTGCTGAGTACTGGCGGCGCCCAATCTCAAAGCAGCTCTTCGCTCCATTGTCCTTCTCACGGAAGAAAGGTCCTCGACCATGGCAATCCTCGTTTTTGCCACCGCAGGTGCTATCTTCATACCGACACTTCTCTCCAGAGCCGTCTTCACACCAGGCTCCCAGGATATTAGGGGAGGTGTCTCCGACATTTGCTTGAGAGAATCCAATAACGGCATCTTCAGTGAACCTCGCATCGCCCTCAACGCTACGCTCGAAGAGATAAGCTGCGACACCTTTGTTATCGCCGCTGACCAGACTGTTGTTGTTGTACATAGATGTGCCATGAACAGGGAACCATGTTAACACAGCCGTTGTTTTGTCGTCAGATTCGCGATCAAACCGAATGAGCGAGAGGGATTTTTCAACATTGGCAGAATACCGCGCTCGCTCTTCCTTCGGGTTATGATCGTATGAATAAGGACTACGGTTAACATTGGTGTCTTGCAAGTCGATGGATCCAAAAGAGAGCCGACCCGGCTCCAAGTTCTCATGGGCACGGATAATTGATTGGATAGTGCCGTCAACAATGGCCTGATAACTTTGCTTGTTGAAACCCAATGCTGGGATCTGTGGCAGTAAGTAGTTCATCCACGCTCCAGGCCCGGAGTGCGAATGTGTCCCCGTCATTGCTACGTTGTGTTCGCCGTACCTTGCATACTCCCCACCAAGCGCAGTGAGACCCTCCAGGACACCATGTCGCACAGCCGTGTCACCCGTTAGTGTATCGAGAACCAGGTACACAAAAGTATCATCGGGATTGTTTGGGTCTGCGAAGATGAAGGCGCGAGAATACAGTCTCTGTTTTAGACCAGTGCCTTTTTGGTCCAAACTAGCATAGCCAGCGAAAGAAAGCTCCACCACCGGTCTAGTGATCTTATTAGCCCAGATTGTTACATTATTTATCAAAAATTAAGCATAGACATACCCAGTTACGTCTGCCTTGCCTGCCCCGACCAAAAAGATATCATCAGCTGCTGCCGCGTTTGCTCTGCTTTTCCACTGGTTGAAGTTGGAACTAAAGCTAGGCAAAGGCGCCTGCGACTGGACATCGAGCTTGAATACCGCAATCAGCTGCAGAAATACCAGTGTCCCAAGAGCCACCCCAGCAAGGGTAACGCTCAAGCGAAAGTTAGCCATTGTTGAGGTGGGTTCCCAATATATAGAGTTGTGGTATCAGCAGAAAAGACGTGTTGAGTGACTGTAGCCCTTGAAAGGTCGAAATCTCCTGGGGAGATACGGGTTCTTATACAATTGCACTAGAGAGGGATATAGTGGGAAGAGGAACGAGCTACCTGCAAGTGCATAAGATCATTGCCTAAGTACCCTGAGGTCGAAAACGAAGCTGAACATTGTACATGAGATACTCGGTAAGTGATATTCGTCTAAACGATGTACAAGGGCTTGAGATCGTCATCTATTGAATCCCGCATACCCAAAAGGGAATAGACTTTCGCTGTTCCCCCCCGCACGGGAGGAATGTGCTGATGTGACTGCACAGCTGAAGACTATGTTGTAGATTGCCTTGGTTTTTAACCAGTCAGCGAGCTGTGAACTTTCGTTAGGTATCAGACACCTCGGGTAAAAACAGTTTGAACTGGATAGGATCGTCGTTGAAAATGGGAGCATCTTAGAGAGCAGTGCCATTCGTCAAATATTCCCCCGGACTCCCAGACCCTGGTTGTTGCTGCAGCCACATATATAATGTATCCCATGACTCAAATGCAGCTGTGAGCGCAGTCACATTAACTAGTTAGATAGATTGGTTACATTACAAATTAGGTAACTAACCAGTTCGCCTTGTTTGTTTGCCTCGGTGCATACAAAAGTAAAAGTCACGTGGTTTATACTAGCTGAGTCAGCTGCTCTCATCTCGCCGCCTTTGTCACCGCCTTCATATAGCAATGGTTCTCAGATTAATCTACTGGTCTTGGTCTTGACATCCATACAAGAACATCAGTCCAAAATGCCGTTAATCAACGAATCTCATGACTCACTGCCATGTATGTACCTAGGGTGGACAAGATACGTGCATTAGAAACCAAATCGCTAACATTGTAAGATATTGACGCAGCGCCCACTGCGTCCGCGCGAGCGCAAGCGCAGCAGCTCATCAACGCAGAGCTATCCCCGGAGCATGCCTCCACAATGCACCCTTGGATCCCGGAAGCTCCAGAACCCAAATTTTCTCAATTCATGCAACAGGAACTCTCGCGCAAAGCGCAAGGAGCACCTCTCACAGGCGGTATCGACCTATCCCGTTACGAAGCACCAGAGGCCCCGACTCGCACATCAGACACCGAGACGCCCGATTTAGCCAAATCGAGCCAGATTTTGCAGCAAGCATATGTGTCATGCTCATACCTGTCCGAGCGCAACAAGAGCCTGGGTCTGCTGGAAGAGTATGGCAAGAACGCTTGGCTGATTGGCAATTCGCAGCTTGAGGAGGTACTCGGTTCTCTTGAGAAGGAATTGGCAGAAACGAAGGAGGCTTCTGAGGAAGTAAACAAGCAGAGAAAAATTACACAGGAGGCGAGCCATGGTGAGCTAGTCAGTCTGGAAGAGACGTGGAAGCGTGGTCCTGAGGCGATCCTTAATGTTGAGCTGGCATCTGAGGGTTTGCGCAGGCAGAACCTTGAATACAGACGCCAAATGGCTCAGCAGCAGGCTCGTTAAGGAAAAACTTTCGTCTTGTTTGTGTACTATCTTTCTGAGAAATGAAAGCTTGTCATTCTAGCGACCTTTTACTGGCTGAAGGATTCATGTCCTTAGTCACACAGTCTGCTTGGTGGAACACTTGCATGGTGGAGTGCCATATGTGCGACTTGGGGGTACCCTTGTTCCTTCGTCCATGAACATTTTGGGCAACGGCCTATGTGCGTTGCTCTTGCTTTTGCGCCGAGGACTTATGCTCGCCCACTCGGCTTTTACAAAAGCGAGCTCTCGTTGTTCCGTTGCCCATAACTACTGGCCCGAGGTTACGACTTCGTATGGGATTTTTTTCTCATACCAAGCTCCAACAAAAAAATCGTCTTTACGCCCAAATGAAGATTGGGGAGGGATGAGACCCTGATATGGCCGGGTACTGCTGGTCGGCTCCGGCTATTCCAAGTTGCAGAAGATTCAATGAATGGTATCTCCTACCAGAGCCCTTCTCTCAAATTACGATTCCATTCCACGCCATAACGTGTTCCAATTTAGAACTAAACTCCTAATAACAAGTAAAGATTGAATCGCCCGCCAATTTTGCTGATGAAAAGGAAACCCCCGGTGGCTACTCGACTCAAATCAAGTAGACCGGTCAACCTCAAATCCTCACAACACCATCGGCGCAACCACGCCAACACCATCCGAAACCTTCACAGGACCCAGCCCCATCTTCTTCCCCACGGCCTCAATCCCCTTCCCCTCGGCCTCCGTATTCCAATCCACAAGCCGCCGACACAAACCATCAATAGTGTTCAGAGGCGGGTTATATCCTAACCCACCCATCTCAGGCGCCAGCGTCGCGCGCGAATCATCAGCAAACACGTGAACATTGACAATGGAAAACACCGACGGCTGAAGCTGCGCAATGCCCCCCGACAACTTCGGCAACCAAGAGAGATATTTATACTGCAAGAACGCATACATCTCAACAAAATACGCCATCACTAAGAACGGCACGGGCGGCACCTCCGGAAACGAAATACGTGTTTTGGACAACGTCTCGAGCAAGGTGTACAAATCACCAAACGCGATCGCCGGGTTTGGGTCGCTAACGGTGAACGCCTGGCCACCTGTATTCGGGAGCCGGGAACCAGGCTCGCTCTGCTGAATTAAACGCTGTTCGTACAAGAGGTGTGCGAGTGAGACGTTCTCGGCGTGCACGAAACTTTGCAGGATCGGGCGAGCCCAGGTCGGACAGCCTCCGTTGCGGAGGTAAAGACCCGTGATGACATTGTTGTCTTGGCCGCCTGTACCATAGACGCCGTTTGTAGGGCGGATACAGCCGGTGCGGAAGTTTGTTGCTGGATCATCTGCTGCGCGGACGAGACGCTCTGCTTCGGTTTTGGTTACGGCGTAGTTGCTGAAGAATTGATCATGGGATTCGGGCAGTTTGGTGCTGTCGCTGACTACTTGAACTACGCGCTTGGGCTGGGTCGCCCACGGCGCGATCCAGAAAGTTGGCCGGTGCAGGGCGATGGAGCCTGAGGATGTCCAGATGAAGGCTGTGGCGCCGGCGGCTCTTGCGGCGTTCAGGACATTCCGTGTGCCGTCGATGTTGACTTTGTTGCTGAGTGGTAGGAAGCATTTGAATCGATCTTGGGGTCGGATTATGGCTGCAGTGTGGTAGACTGTTAGGGGAAGGATTCTGACATTGGCAACCCATGGCTCTTCGAATGCTGTTGTTACTGCGAGCTCGTCGGTGATATTGGTTTTAGTCCAGCTCACGCCTTTGTTGAGGATGTCCTGCTCTGGGGAGTTCAGGTCTAGAATGCGAATGGCCTTGGGGTCTTCACCCCGTGCGAGGAGATGCGAGACTATCCAAGCGCCAACTAAACCTATAGTTTAAGGAGTCAGTAGATATGTATATGAAGAGCGACTTGTATCTATACGTACCAGTTCCGCCTACGATCACATATCGTCGGGATTGTTTTGGAGGCAGGCTCTTGGTCACATCAATGGGGGTTTCCAGGCTCTTTCTATAGGCTGCTTCGATTTCTTCGATCGTCCAGCGATGAGGTGATAGTTTCTGTGCCTCTTCGGGGATTACTTTCATCGCAGAGTTAACACGCCACATATAGAGAACGAATAGTCCAGCCAGGCCGGTTGCTATAAGCAACACCATGATGGTTGGCCAGTTACAGAATACTTTTTCTCAAGGTTGCAATCCCAGGGCTTTAAAGGTTACAAGGGAGTACAGAAAAGCTGGCCTGTTTGAAGGTCTAGATTGAAAGCAACATGATCCAGTGGACATAAAACATATCAGATCAAAGTTCGGGAGATCGCTTAGGCGTTCGCTTCGGCTAAGCGAGCCTGAGCGTTGTGGCCCCTGAGCGCTGCAGTGCCTCAGCAAACAGTGAGATTGGCAAACAATCATGTTTGTCAAGACCGATGTTACTAAAAAACAAAATATAGGTTAGAAGTAGAGTGGGCTATATAGTGGGCTATATGTTGTATACTATCTAAGCATCCCTTATATGCATGGATCTGGTATAAACCTACGACATCGGAGATTACAGTTTTATAGATCAACACATCACATCATCGGAACATTCCGTTATAAAGTAGTCAGGATTCTACGACTTCTAGAGCTGGGAAATAGATAGAGAAAATACAATACACTCTCAGACCTAAAGTATTCGGCAAACCGGCACACCAGTGGAACCATGTTTTTTCGGGCCTCCGTAGTTGGGTCGAAAACAACTTTTGTTTTATGGAGACTTGCCCGTAAGGAAAACCATGCCAAGGTTGGAGTCTGATACTATACAATGTAGCTTCTAGGGAGATTACCTGGTTCTTGAATAGATCTCAGTACAGCCCTGTAAACCCTGTAAACCCTGTAAACCCTGCAACCCCTGTAAGCTCTCCAATCCTTATAAGCCCAGCTCATGGTTTATCACAGGTATTTGGCCCCACCTTGGAAAATTCCGAGTTTCAAATTCGACGCCTTCGACTTGTAATTTATATCAGTTTGCAGAGTTGATACTTAAACCTCCCCCGGCGGGATTTAGGCATACTTTTGATATATCCCCTATAAAGAAATAGAGAACGACACACTTTACTATTTTACTACCTTATCTCGGGGCTGAAATCAGAAAACAGACCTTTTACTCCTATTTTCCCCTATTTTATTCACTACAACCCCCTCACACTGGAGTAATGCTCGTCTAATCTCCAGTGTACTCCCATATTAGCTCCCCGAACACTGTTCCACTGTTCCACTGTTTCAAAGATCATCCAAGCTTGTGGGGATGGCAGCTCAATGCCCCAATTCGGATGGCCAAGATAAATGGCCCGAAACCACCGAGAGGGTGTCCCAGGACACAGACTCTATCGAGTCCATTTCCACGGTAGACACACAGACAGACCGCGATGGATTAGGAAAGTCATTGACAGCTCGTGCCTCGCGAACCTCGCATATGTCACTGTCGGAGCGAGTAACGACAATCGCAACCAATGCCACCACCGATCCCGACTATGAGGTCGATTGGGATGGTGACGATGACCCCGAGAACCCCAAAAACTGGACTCTCAAGTATAAGGCTATGGGTATCTTGTTTCTGTCATGGAACACCCTCATTGTGTAAGTTTATATCTCTCAGTTATAAAACACCTGGTTCTCTGGCTAACATATTTGGAAGCGTGTTGTATTCAACTTCTTATACTTCAGGGATTTCATTGATCGCCGAGGAATTTGGCCAGGATGGGACTATCGTTACCCTCGGCTTGACCTTTTATCTGTTTGGTCTTGCCATCGGGTCCATGTTCATGGCCCCGTTGAGTGAGGTCTACGGACGGAAACCTGTCTGTGTAATTTGTCTAGCCGTGTTCACGGTCCTGATCATCCCCTGCGCGCTCGCAAAGTCCGTCACGGCACTGATCGTCATTCGCTTTATTGCTGCTTTCTTCGGCAGTGTCATGATCTCTACCGCACCCGGTATGGTGGCTGACTTGGTGAACGATGAGCACCGTGCTCTCGCGATCTCTGTTTGGAGTATTGGACCACTCAATGGACCAGGTTTGTTCTTGACTTCTCTTTTTTCCGAAAGTCCATTTCTAACCGGATATAGTCATCGGCCCTGTCATCGGAGGCTTCGTCACTCAATATCTTGGCTGGCGTTGGATGTGCTGGATCGCCCTCATGCTCTCCGCTGTTGCTTTGGTCTTTGCTATCCTTCTCAAGGAAACCTACGCGCCGACCATTCTCCAAAAGAAAGCAGCCAAACTCCGCAAGGAGAGTGGCGATTCCCGCTGGTGGAGTCGCTACGACCAAAAGGCGAGCCTTTCTGAGATCCTCAAGCTGAACCTTAGCCGACCATTTGTAATGGCCGCCACGGAGCCAATCTGGTAGGTTCCTTACAATACATTCCACGCCCACAAAACATGAAACTAACACCCTCCCCAGCATCTTCTGGAACATCTACATCGCAATCATCTACGGCATCCTATACCTATGCTTCGTAGCTTACCCAATCGTCTTCCAAGATATCCGTGGATGGCAACTGGGCATGTCCGGACTCGCCTTCCTAGGCATCGGGCTCGGAGTCCTCATCACAATCGCCTGCGAACCTTTAGTCCGGCGATTGATCAACAGTCACGTCAAAGACCCCGAGACCGGTAAACCACACCCAGAAGCAATGGTCTCGTTTGTTTGCATATGCGCAGCGATGATCCCAGTCGGTGAGCTCTGGTTCGCTTGGACATGCTCCCCAGCCTCAATCCCCTGGATTGTGCCCCTGCTAGCGGGTATCCCATTCGGGGCGGGAAATACCGGTGTCTTCATCTATACATCTAACTACTTGACTCACAGCTACGGCATGTATGCTGCTTCTGCTTTGGCGGGCAACTCGGTTATTCGGAGTGTCCTCGGCGGTGTTCTGCCACTTGCTGGCGCTTCTATGTATGCCAGTCTGGGGCCGAATTGGGCAGGCACTCTGCTGGGGGTGTTGGAGGTTGTTATTGTGCCGATTCCATTTGTGTTCTACAAGTATGGACATAAGATTCGCATGAGAAGCCCCCTCATTCTGCGCATGCAGGAGGAGAAGATGAAGTTGGAGGGAAAGCGGGCTAGGAGGCAGATTCAGCTTCAACAGGCGAATCAGTCGGATGAGAAGAATGCGGAAGAGGTGGTTTAGGGTTGCTTTTTACGAATCATTTATCTGATGTTTTTGATTTACGTCTTGATACCCGTGGCCTTGTATCTGAGGTGCTCGAAAAGTAATTATTCAGCAAAATATATAATGCAGAGACACTCGATTAATGCGTGAGTGATTTGGAGTTCCATATAGTCATTTGAGTCATTACAGATGTTTTCTCAGTTGGTAAACTGTATCATTTGCTCGACACGCTGAGAATTACAAAGGATTCTCTCATACTCCCCGATGGCAATAGCTCCCGCTGGGAAAACCATTATTGCCTCGACATACACCGGACGAGGGGGGACCGTAGAAGGCCTCGGGCTCGGCCGACTCGCGTCGTCGGGAGTCGAATAGAATGAAGGTGGTCGTGGCACCGGCTCCAACTCTCTGACATAGCCCACGACATTCAGCCATGTTCCCACGCGCAGTTCTTCCGCCGTCAGGCCCTCGAGGAGGGCATTGATATCGACAGATACAGAGCTTGGAGCTATCTTGCTGCGTGGATAGTTGTGTTCCAGTATCAAATGGCCGGTGGTGATGATATACTGTGTCACACTGTGCGTACACAAAAACGTAAATCATTGTTAGTATTGGAAAGCCTCGAATTTATACTATCTTGTTCTCTGCTCTGGGCCTGACGCACCAGCCAAGAAAGCGGATCTTCGAGTCCGCCTGTAGAGACGAGAGATCGGATAGGAACACGCGAGTCGAAGGACGCGGCCCATTCATCTCTGCGCTAGTTGAAGAAGATGCTCAGCATTGTAAAGATGTGAAGATTGAAAGAAAAGAATAAAAGAGGCAGATTGAAATGTCACAAACACAACGGTCTTGTTGGCGCACGTGACTAGCCTTACCGTGTATGTCATAGGCTCAGCGAGGGGAAAGTCGGGCTCTCTCCCCTCCACTTTGCATTCATCCAGACATTATCCTTGGAAGCGCTCTCGACGAGTCGTGTGTTCCAAACATACTGGTCATTCGGAGCTTATTTTTCACACGCTCTTCCCTTATTTCACCTGTCAGCTCACTGACCTTGACTGGAGCCTATCGCTCCACCTGACTTGCAGCAAAGAAAACAACCAATTTACTCTCCACCTCTCACTCACTCCGGATCTTTAGCGGGTGCCTAGTCTCCTTTGGACATATTACCTGACCACCGACTTATCCTGCTTATTTACTCTGTTCGGTTTCCAGTTACACAGACACCGACATCACCATGTGGTCTTGGTTTGGCGGGGCCGCCGCTCAGAAGCGGAAGGATGCGCCGAAGAACGCTATCCTACAGCTGCGCGAGCAGCTGGATATGCTGCAAAAGCGCGAGAAACATCTCGAGAACCAGATCTCAGAACAGGAGGCAATGGCGCGGAAGAACGTTAACTCAGATAAGAACGGTATGGTTGCGGATCTTGCAGATTGTTGCTGGACATCTATTTACAGGTTTTGGGTGGTGGCTAACGATCTGTTCCTTTAATATTGTGTTGAATAGCCGCCAAGAATGCCCTCCGACGGAAAAAGGTCCACGAGAAGAACCTCGAGCAGACAACAGCTCAGATTATGCAACTCGAGCAGCAGATATACTCCATCGAAGCCGCCAATATCAACCACGAGACCTTGGCTGCTATGAAGCAGGCCGGTGCCGCTATGAAGCATATCCACGGTGGAATGAAGCTCGAGGATGTCGACAAGACGATGTATGTTGCTGCGGGACTCACCGAGTCCATCCCTATACCATTGCCTCTATCGTGGCTCTTGTTAAATTATGTGATGGTCATATACTGATAATTTGCAGGGAGGAACTCCAAGATCAACATGCGCTCAGCACCGAGATCGGAAACGTCATTACCAGTTTCCCTATCGGCGAACAGCCCGACGAGGACGAGCTCGATGCCGAATTGGAGGGTCTGGAGCAGGAGGCCATGGATGCGAAGATGCTCCACACCGGGACCGTACCGGTGGGCAATCAACTGGACCGGTTACCAGCTGCGGGGAATACAGATCGTAAGAACAGAACCCTATACCCAGGTATCACCTATATTGTTTACTAACTCGCCTATAGTCAAACACCCTGCCAAGGCAGAGGAAGACGACGAGGAAGCCGAACTGGCAAAGTTGCGTGCGGAAATGGCCATGTGATGACCTCTTACTTCCAGCCACGCGACCAATGCAGCCTCATTTCTGTTGAAACCTTACCCTTTTTCTATTCTTTGTTCCTTATCTTACCCTTGCATGCATGACCCGGTCGTTTTATCAAGCCATTTCCTCCCTTTGGCTCTCGCTGACGCCCCGCTTACTCTTCTTTATTACCTCTATCTCTCTTCCAAGGTTGTTTCAACCATCCCCTCCATATGATCCGACACTATCCAGGTATTTCCGAGGTCTTGCACTGATCTGTCTTCTGTGACTTTTTTTTTCTGGCTGTTCCACTCCTCGACATCCTTTCTCAAGCCAACGCCATCGATCTCTTGGATTCATGTTCATTTTTGCTTTTTTTTAATGGAGTTTTAGATGACTTCGGTTGTTTTTTTATTTATTCGTGTAAGCTAAGCTATTAATTTTGAATTTTTAGCTTGGGATATCCCGGGTTATACATAGAAAAGTCCTCGGTACGTGCCTTCGTATGTTGTACATCGCCGAGTCTACTCTGCGCTATTATTCCCATTCCTAGCGACACTTCTATAGCTAATCATAATCCTTCTACAATACCGAGAAGAACATATACCCAAAAAAAACTTCCAAAAAAGACATCGTGGTGTCATCTTACATATAAATTCCCTAATATTATCTTGAGCCAGAAAATCACATTATTTGGAGTTTTACGTAGTAATGTGCCTACCTAGGTAGGCCACACATGGGGCTGACTGTACGGAGTATACTCTCTTGTGCATTCATGACTTGAGTTGTAGCTCATTGGTATGATACGGCTGGAAGAGACGGAAGAGATTACATGTATTTTCTATGGGCTGTTTGGGCAAATAAAAACATCTATGACGAAGGTCGCGAAAAGAGTAGCATGCTAGTCCAAGGCAACGATGTGGCGTTAAAAGAGCATATATTCTTGTATAAAAAATAAGGTGGTTCATTATTATCTGAAAGTCCATCACTCGAAGCCGTCAGGTAAACTCAGCTTCGAAGACCGAAAAAGAAAAAACCAGTTAATACATCATGGAGATAGGCAAAGATCTATCCAAGGCGTATGCCTCAAAAGCGAAAGCAGACCCAGACCTAGAAGCAGAAAGAAAGAAAAAAAAAACTCCAGCGGCTTTCACCTGCCATGTCCAGCCACCCAGCCCATGCTAACCCATAAATTTCGCCGACGCGCAAGAATCTCAAGAAAAAAGGAATCAACTTCAGGATTTACGGGTACCAGGCATAGCTCTTGGTTGGCTGGGTACGCTCGCCGTCCTTGGTCTCGATAGTCCACTTGGACTTCCATTCGACCTCCTGTGCCGCAGCGTCAATGAGAGCTTCCTTGCACTCGGGCGGAAGCAACTGGAGAATCTCTGGAGTCATGAACTCGGGATGTTCTGGGTTGGCGACGCTGACCAGGCCGTTGGGGCCAATATCGTGCACATCACCATCAGGGCCCGGGACGCCCATGTTTGAGTATGGCGGGGATTCGTAGACAATGTCCTGGATGACATAGCGGTCGTGGATATAAGTGGGAACAGGGGAAAAGGTAGTGGCGGTGTTTTCGGTAGAGGGTTCACCAGTGGCAGCCTTGTGCGCTTCCTGGGTTTCGTGGGAGGTCTGATTTTCATGGTCGGAAGGAGAGCCTCCGTTGGAGAGGTTCAATGAGTTCATGTTAGTCGTCAACTCGGTCGGGGCGGACGCCGGAGCTGGGGCAACCCGCTCCCAGCGGGCGTGGGTTGGCTGCATGATCTTCGGGTGCTGCATAATATTTGTGTGGACATCGTACACACCACCCAAATTCGCACGACGCGATTCGGCGAGCTTTGAATTAAAGTTGCTATAATGTGTTAGTTGACAGGTCCAATTTGGTTGCTCACTACCAAATATAGACTCACCTTGCAGCACGGGCGTGCTCAAGCATCCAGTTGTCATCAGTGACTGGCACACGCCGTTTCTTGGTATCAACTGGCTTCCCACCAACAAGCGGGACCGCGGGCGCGTTTGTATGATAAACACTGCTTGCGCCGTGCCAGGCGACATACTGATTCCTGTTATAGGTTTCTCCAGGTCCGGGCAATCTGTCTTCCGGAACGGCCAGCTCGCCCTCCACATCGCCGCGCTCGCGAGCAGCAGCTTCGTCATAGTCGTCGATGATCTTCTTGCCGCCGACGATAATCTTTGCGCCGAACTCACGGAACACTGATCGTGCGGTGACAACACCAATGGCCCGTCCCTTGTAAGAGTGGGGGATGAGGTCGCGCTCAATCAAATCACGCTTGGCGTCATCATCAATGATAATCTTGTACAGCATCTTGTGCTTCTGGAAAAACAAGTACGAGTCACGGAAGCCAATGCAGCGAGCCGGTTCAGTCGACAACATGTAGAGGCGGTCCCCGCGACCAAGGATCTTGAATGTACGGACTCGATACTCGCGTCCGCCTTGTAGGTGGCCATTCTCGTCGACCTTAGTAGCGCCGATTGGGTCGGGGGGAATCGACACTTCGTCGTTGATGACATCCATCATGTTTCCTTCCTTATCGACGGGCACCTGGGTGAGATGGGAGGGGCCGCGGTTGCGTGCCCAACGTCCACCGCTAGCAGCAGGCCGGCCGCGACGTCTTTTGACTGGAGTAGAGACTCGAAGTGGTTGCTCGCCGTCGGCAGGATCCCATTCAGGCCGAGGGTTCTTGGGCGGGCGACCAATGCGACGCTTGCCGCGTGGCGGAAGTGATGGGCGGCCAGGTCCGTAGGAAGGTGTGTTGTCTGTGTCGGGAATGATTGAGTCTTCTGCTGGGGTCGCAACACTCAATTGCTCCTCTGGTTTGGATGTAGCAGGTGCTTCAGCAGCCTGGACTTCTGCGCTTTCAGCTTTAGATTCGGCTTCAGGTTCGCGTTCAGGTTCAGGTTCAGGTTGAGGTTCAGGTTCAGGTTGAGGTTCAGGTTCAGGTTCGCGTTCAGGTTCGGGTTCAGCCTCGAGTTCGACGTCGGGATCTTTCTCGGGGGAGTCTTCTGATTCAGCTACAGGCGAGGAGGGTTGAGAGGAAGGGGCGTCGACCATCTCCTCATCAGACCCATCTGGAATTGAAGGTACATTTTCTAAAGCTGGTTAGTCGCAAACGCGTCTAAGGGGAGGGTGAAATTCGATGCATAGTAGAAGAGACGGGTGTGTGTAGCAGGTGCGGGCCAATGCGAGGTTGGGATCAACTCACTTATCGACTTTGCAGCCGCCTGGGCGGCCGCCCTTAGCTTTCGTGGCATTTTGTCGATGGTTGATCGATATGCTGGGGAAGCGCAAATGGGGAGGAATAGCTGTTTTGCGAAGGGCCGAAGTTTTTCCGGGGCGTTCTACGGGCTGCAAACGCGGCAAACAACCACATAGTGCAAACAAGGCAAACTGGTGGGTATATCCTCTATGACGTCATACGCTCTTCCTTACTCCAACGGAGCATTTCGGGCTGCACATCTGCTCGGCCGTTGATCGGCGAACATCCCTGCTTCTGATCTGACTGTTTCTTCGCTATTCGTTCTTCTCCAATTCTAGACCCTCAACCGCCATTGCCGTTTCAAAATGCCCATATTAAATCGATATCATAGGTTGCCTGCCTAGGACAGCATCTCGGGCTTTGTGTTACCCCCTAGTTGGTATGAGAGTGCGGGGATTCAATGCTCAAGATGAGTTCATCTATGAGATCTACATGTTGATAGAATCCCGTAAATACTCACCGGTCGTTTAGTGCACCGTTCTCTCCCGAATCACATTGCCATTAGGTGTTAATTGCATTCAACATGGAGATGACTGCATCAAAATGCATAGGTTAATTTCGTGTGTAACCACTGACCTCATTTTCTCTCTGTGCAGCCAATCTCCAATATCACATGTGAGAGATAGCTCCTGACCCTAGGGGGCTTGAGCAAACCATATCCCAAGTCAGTAGCGAAGTTGCTTGGGACCAAGGAGCATGTTTCAATCGCGGTAACGAGTCACCGCTTGGACCAGGTTGTTCATGGACAACAGATTGGCTTTATTAGCAGTATTTCCCCGAGAGTTCTACCCCAATGGCATATTAAAGGCCATATCTCCTTTTTCGGTCGTGGAAACCCAAATAGTGAATATAAGAACGCCTCCGGAAATATACTTCTGATCAAGTATAATTTCTGCTGGCAGCGGGGAGCTTGAGAAACATGAGTAAAGATGTGCCTACTTTGTTGTACGGAGTACAAGCCCGCAGATCATACCCCAGTGCAGATGACCTACAAGTTCAATCCGAACTCGGACTCGGTCTTGTGCATAACGGAATATGCACATTGAAATCATGCAGGTTTCGGCTGTACATTGATGTAGGTTGTATCAAAAGGTGGTCGAGATGCCCAATATTCGAGTATGAACCGCACGAGCCCATGGTAAAAGAAAACTACGCACTCTTAATGGCGCAAGTCTAGGGTACGAGATTAGATATCATCCTTGATCCAATGCTCTGGATCTATATTTCCATAGCATATAATTCGTCATATATAAAATTCAAGGGAGGTTGAGGAAGGTGGTTGCCGATCACCTCTTTATCCCCCCACCACCACCACCTATTTGAGGGCGTGGATACTATAAGCTGAGGGGTCAAACTGGAGATCGGCAATATAGCTCTCTAGCGCTTTTTCTACAATTATTGTACAGTCGCAGCAAGCTCATTTCTGTGGCACGTACATCATTCACGCGGGTCTTAAATCCGCCGAGCCACATGTTAGCGCAGAGGGACCTCACGATGCGTCCCGATGACGCATGTGGAGGGCAGCCTTGAAGCACCCATGCGACCACAGCATATCTCACATTTCACCTGGTATGCAGATGCAAGGGGAGCTGAGAGCTAGACCTGGGCCATATTGAAAGCTGAAAGGCTGACACGATCTCGGGATCGAGAGTCGATCTATGGGTTTCACAGTTATATTTCATTATTTTATGCAAAAGTGATTTTTCCTCTAAAATAAAGTATACCTTCCATATATGTAGATGGAAACCATCTATAAGAAATATCGGAGGACTCGGATGTCAGATGGAGTGAGAAGTGGAGATAAAGATTTGCACGATAAGAGCGAAAAATAGGAACGCCTAAGAAATTCTCAGCCTCTTTCAAGGTGTAGCCACATGTTGGAGCCTAATGTCAGGATCGTGACCTCGAAAATCCAGTTTTCACATTTTCTTCACATTCTAGCAAAATCAGAAGGGGAATTAAAAAGTTGAAATACCCGGGCAATTCTCTTCATATCTGCTATTGAAGATTATCAGCCACTCATATTCTCCACATGACGTTTATCTCTTTCTGATCTCGGATTTCTAATTTCTAACAATAATTCCTCATTTTCCCCTTAGGAAATAAGTAGAGAGAACCTTTCCGGTAGAACCTATGGTCAGGTTCCAGGTTCTATCAGATTATCCATGGATCCCTTATATATGATATAATCTCATGTCCAGGACTTAATAATACCCGAGAAACAGAGATCTTTTTTTTATCTTCCAAGTTTTTAAGTGAATTTTTCTTATTACTGAAATCCCACTTCTAAATCCCAAAAAGAAATCTATCGAATACCTTTTTTTTCCCTCAAATTAAACTTCATTTTCTTGTTGGGGAAAATCCAAACGGGTTCAAATCCATCCCGCAAACTCCCTTAGCTCATCAAAAAAAATCCTTTTTTCCCCCTTGGAATTCCCCTCCCCCCCCCACCCTCTCGTTCTCTTCATTTTCCAACTTTATTGAATGGAAACACAATGGCCGCGCAGAGTGGACCCGTGTTGCACGGCGACGACATGAAGACAATGAAGTGAGTCAACTTCTTTTTACGGAATTCCTTCCAGAAAGGCGGGGCTGAAGGAGGGAAAAAGAGGGTCCACGATCCCCTCACACCGCATTGCATTACAGTCTGTTCTTCTTGGGGGTTGAATATGCATGAAACACGTTTCGAGGATCCTTTCTCTCTGCCTTTCATATCGGAGCTTGTCGGAATTTGCCTACAACCTTTGAATTGAAGATTTTGTCGTTAATCTGGCTAACCATCTTCCGTCTTAATAGCTCCGGACTGGAAGACGATACCCCAGATCAGATCAGGTCAAATGATTCTACTCCTACGCCGACTGGAATCGCAACACCTGAACCTGATCTGGCCGACAAGCGTCTACCTTCCATTATGCACAACTACTTCCAGGTTGGTTCTCTCTCCGGTGATAAAGCGAGTCTACCGCGGCTATGGTCATGTCTGTCGAAACCCTCTGAGGACCTTCAATCAAATGCGCATACCCAACATTCCTCCGATTCCTCCGAGTCTTTTGTCATGATGGAGCAGGAAGATGGGTCTGATAAGATGGATGAACACCCCAGTCTGCCCACCCCTCCACACTCTTTGTTACAGCACGAGTCGGATGAGATGGAACTTGGGACGAGTCCAGGAGTGTCTTCTATCTTTACAACGTTGAAGAATTACCTCATTTCACCCACACAAACTTCAGAAGACTCTCCTTCCCGCCGTCAAACCTCTCTCCCAGTATCCAGCGTCTCTGATGACCCCGTCCTTGCCACACATTTTTCCAACCCATCCCTACCTCCTGCCTCAAATGCCTTTTCCCTGACTGAAGCTCCCCTCATCGACCATGAGAAACCGCATGTCTCCGTATCTTCCGAGAACCTGGCCAAGCTAACTGAAAACGCGCCCGATGGGTCGCGTCTTAAGAATACCCCACCTCTTACTCCCCGGGCCATGTCCAACGATGCCGCAGCCGCCCAGGAAAAGGCCGCCACTTCGACCCCGCAAGAGAGCTCGGAAGAGACTCCACAATCTGAATTAAAGCCGGACATCGAAACCTCCACGGACGAGATCACCATGAAACTCGATGAAGCATTCCCATCGCAGTCCCAGCCTGAGACTGCGCCTACGCCCGCTGCGACAACAGCATCCCCGGCTAACGGCGCGCCCACAGGCCCGATCAATGGCAAATTGTTTGTGAAGATCACGGATGGTCGAGGATTGCGGCCAAGTTTCGATCCGTATGTGGTGTGTGTATTCGAATGGAATGAGTACATCTCCAAAGGTGCTCGTGATGGTGAGGAGGAAAAGAAACGGCGCCAGCTGGAGTCAGATGCCGAGGAGGCTGCTGGTCGGCCTATGGCCATTCCTTTGAAGACCCGGTCCAGCTCTCACAACAGTGCTATCGAGGGTGATCACAAGGGGCGGACGCCCGTGACTGACCCGCACTGGGATCACGAGGCTACCTTGTATGTTATCCCAACCCAGCTCCTTAACTTGGATCACCCACTAACACGTTTTCTTAAGTGACGTTATGGGAGATCAGTCGGAACTTGATGTCACTGTCTATGACCGCAACAACCAGGAAGCTTTTTTGGGTCACGTACGCCTCTGTATCAACCTCAAGGAAGATCACAGCCGACTAGAAGGCTGGTTCCCCTTGGTCGCGCGCGGTGCCGGCGACAACCAAGTTTCTGGAGAAATCCACCTCGATATGAAGTTCGAAAAGACAGATCGAAAGCAGGTCGGACCGAATGACTTCCTCGTCCTCAAGCTTATCGGCAAAGGAACTTTTGGTCAGGTTTATCAGGTCAAGAAGAAGGACACACAGCGTATCTATGCGATGAAGGTTCTCTCGAAGAAGGTCATCATTCAGAAGAAGGAGGTGATTCACACGCTCGGAGAGCGCAATATCCTAGTACGCACTGCGATGACGGCGTCTCCGTTTATTGTTGGATTGAAGTTCTCCTTCCAAACCCCAACAGATCTGTACCTGGTTACGGATTATATGTCGGGTGGCGAATTGTTCTGGCACCTGCAGCGTGAGGGTCGGTTCCAGGAGGCCCGGGCGAAGTTTTACATTGCCGAGTTGATTCTGGCTCTGCAGCATCTACACGATCATGATATCGTATATCGGGATCTCAAACCGGAGAACATTCTGTTAGATGCCAACGGTCACATTGCGCTCTGCGATTTCGGTCTATCCAAGGCAAATCTGTCACAAAACGACACCACCAATACCTTCTGTGGTACCACAGAATATCTAGCCCCGGAAGTATTGCTTGATGAGCAAGGTTATACAAAGATGGTCGACTTCTGGTCCCTGGGTGTCTTGGTCTTTGAGATGTGCTGTGGCTGGAGCCCGTTCTATGCCGAGGACACTCAGCAGATGTACAAGAATATCGCATTCGGCAAAGTCCGATTCCCCCGTGATGCGCTGAGCACCGAGGGAAGAAACTTCGTCAAGGGTCTGCTCAACCGGAATCCCAAGCATCGACTAGGCGCCAACGGCGATGCTAAGGAACTCATGGCACACCCATTCTTCCACGATATCAACTGGGAGACACTGTGCCGCAAGCAAGTGATTCCTCCGTTCAAGCCGCAGCTGCAGTCTGAAACCGACACCTCCAACTTCGATCCCGAATTCACAAACGCCATGGACCTGAACAATTCGCTCAATCTCCGCGCCGCAAACCTCGCCAACGGCCTCATGCCAGCCTCCACACCATTGTCGCCCGGTATGCAGGCCAATTTCAAGGGATTCACGTTCGTGAATGAAAGCTCTATCGACCACCACCTTATGGACGAGAGCGATCATATGGAAGAAGACTCCATGCACGACGATCACTGGCAACGAAGCCACCGGTCAGGCAACTCGGGCGATCAGCGCATGGCAGGTGTCCAGAAGACGCACGACGGCACGGAGCCCGGGATTTTCAACGTTGATGATACCTTTGACATGTGATTACGTTTTCTTATTTTTTTCGCCTACTGCATGATCATGGAGTCTCGATCTGGCATACGTTATTGTTTCTTCTCTTGTCTTGTACATGCCCTCGGATTGCATCGCTTCCAACCCGCAAATATGGGTTTCCGTTTCCATTTGCCTTCGCCTTGTTTTCTGATTCCCGGTTTGCCCCCACTTCCTTTCCTTCATCCTTTCGGTCTGTTTCCTGTTCTGTCGAATGCCTAGTCAAGACGGTGATCATTCTCTGATCCTGATCCTGGTACCAATTTTGAGCCTCGCTATTCGTCATGGTTACGATCTCTCGTTCGTTTCGTCAGCCAGTTCCCAGTCACATACCCCCACCCCCGGGGTTTCGGTCAGTTTCTTCACGTTCCGTTTCCGATGAAACCCCGGGGGACTCTTGCGTGTTTGTTGGAGTTGGGTTTGGGTGATTTTCATTGTGCACCTTTATTGTCAGTCATCATGTTCTGGGGCGGTTAGTCAAAGCGAGCTCTCTTTGTCTTTGCCTTCTATCCTGTCTCCGGCGCAGTGTTGATAACTTTATCCTCTATCCTCTGGGATTGATGTCCTGAATTTTGATACCTGCTCTTTTCTCTTGGGTCTTTCCTCCGGTCTTCTCTCCTGCTTTCATATTTGCTTTCTCTCTTCGCGGAGTTTTCCTGTTCCAACACGGTACGGTGGTAATTTGAGGGATCTTTCCTCACGGGATTTTCTATTTATTTTTTGCATATCCAGGTTTGATTGAGGCTACCCAGATTCGAGGACAACCGAGTTGTAGCAGAAGGTTTCATTCCAGTTCCATTTTCATGGCGTTAAGACTGACATCGGCATCTCATGGGGCTCGATCTGCATTTGCATCGGGGAAGATGGATAAGCTGCTCTAGTCGAATATCAGACTCTTCTATTCAATCCATCCATTATTACGATCACTACTTCCGAGGCTCACTTGATAAGCTGTTTCCTGTACTCCGTAGCATGTCGTTTACTGTCTTGTTCGGGTTCCTTTGCTACGATGGTTCGTACCTCGTCTAGATACATAGAATATAGGATACAGACAGATGTTTACATGGGGACGGTCACCTAATAATGACACTAAACTCAGATTTGTGCGATTCCTCTCTTATCCCGTCATGAGGTCTGTTTTATCTCTTATCTGTCCAAGCAGCCTTCGAGCCGATATCATGTTCGGCAGGACCACCTTTCTCTTTTAAGAAAATATTTCCTCGACAACCTCCGAGGTCGTTTCTTCTACATCAGTTACATCCTTCCCTTTTAGACTTACACATATAATTGGGGAGCCGCAACCCAACCCAGAACATTTACTATAAGCGCCCCCCCCTTTAGGTACGACGGTATAGATTCCGTCCCCAAAATCAGGATTCGTATCTCCTTCAAGCGTGGTGATACTACCAGGGCCGAATTCAGCCTTGGCCTCAAAGATACACTCTTCTTCTAGACATGAATTTATTCCATTCGGATTGCCATCTTGCATAACAATAAGGTGGAGCCGACTATATGCAACATCGGTGGGCATCTTGGCTTGCCTTGTCATCTTTCTGTCCGTACCACGTCCGGGTCCAGAAAACTCTCGGTGTTTGACCATCTACGGCCCGTTCCTCTTCGGCTGTGAGGTCTTGGGGCACATGTGGAGTGAATCTTGCCGGGTATTCCTATTTCTCCGTTGGTATTCCTACGGGGCTAAGAGATGGGGCCAAGGTTACATTGCCGTATTTGCCAAGCCGAAGCCAGGATTCGACAAGAACACGATGTTGTTGCTTCTTTGAAAGAGACGAATTGGGATCCCATTTTGCCTGTTCATGGTTCCTCTGTTTCCGTTTGGCAAATGGCCTACCATAACATGGTAGTCAAAAGGCAAAAGGCCAAATGGCATGTCAGTTTCATCCTTCTGTATTTTTTGTTTTTTTTAAGGCATTTCTTTTCTCGGTCTCGGGGTTTCAGGAAGAGGGGAGAGGAAGGAGGAAACAAAGCGGGAAGACTAGAGCTTGGGAACATGTGAACGAACTTTTGTTTGCGCTAAAAGCAGCCACAATGTGATTTACTCTGAGAAGGCACGTATGCCTCATATCTCATCGTTTGGGTGTATTCATTTCATAAAATCATTTGCACAGAATGGTCAGGTTCTCATGTCCCTGCTATCCCGAGGTCCCTGGGTCCAGATAGCTTTTTGCAATCTATTATTTTATTTTTAGCAACACTGGACGGTTGTTTGTTATACAACATAGGCGATCGGGATGGTTCCAGGGCCCTACTCCCTTAGTACACGGTGTTGCTGGTTCCCGTCTCGATTGAATGCAGGTACGTGGACAAGTGGACCTTCCAGCTGGAATTTTAAGTCCTAGGAACGCCCCAAAGCGGCACTTTCCAGCCCTAGTGGTCAACATAACGAGATCCAATGGTGCAATTGGCCGTAGTACTAGAGTTGGACCCTCAGTGCGTCTCCACCAGATCGCAATTTTAGTGATTTCTCTTCCACGTTCTGATCTGTTTCGAGTGGATTGAGATATACCCGAGAGTTCCGTCGGCTGCCCATATATATCGCGGCATGTCAAGGGAATGATATGGACGAACTACTCCGTACTACACATTGAAGTGTTTTTTTTTTTTGCATGGAGTAGTCCATTCGCCGATCTTGCTAGATCTGGGGGAGTGTTGGGGATTTCCACTCGAGTCATGTTTCTATTTTTTTGGGGTTTATTATAATTTAATAATAGGTACACTTTGGACTATATGATGTTAGGTTGATATTGTTAATGGTACATATGTCGATCCTTTTATGCCATGCAGTGATGTGCAGACTGGAGTACTCCGTACTGTCGTACATCCAAAGTCAAATGTAAGAAAAGCGTTCCTCCAGGGCTGAGCCGTCCAATTACCTATTTCATTGGCCTGCAGGATGATATGCGCATGGGCCGTTTGGATATAAATAGGGGACATTCAAATGTTCGACATTCGACAATTTACTCGTATTACTATAGGCTGAAACACCTGTACCAATCTAAATCAACTTAAACGATTATACAACAAAAGCAGAGAAAAAAGAAAACGAAAAGGGGTAAAAACGACGACCCACTGGGTTAAACCTAAATGGGCAATAGCGTCAGAACGAACTGAGAGGCTTTTTGATATTCACTTTGTCTTGAAGGGATTGGGGAATATGTACTTGATCTAAATAATTGCAAGTGTACAAGGCTCTTTGTATATATAATATACCTACAGTTCTCTATTTATCCAGATATAAAAAATTATAGGTAACCCCTGAACCGCTTCCCGTCTCCGCTCTGCAGGCATGGCTGCACGGCTGCACGGCTTACAGTAATGTAATCCACCTTCAAATCATTCCTGATGTGGGGGAGATCGACTGCCATTATCATTCCTTTTTCCTTTTTCTCCCTTTTCCAACGTGCTAGTGTTACATAGTTCTGATCCTCTTTTCAGAGGTTCCTACTCTTCTTACTCTTTTCTCTTCACCCTTTCATATCTTGGACTCTATACGCGTGTGACTTTATACGGAATCTGCCGATCTTCATATATTACGCCATTTCCCGAACTCCTTACATTCCCGAACCCCTCCCTATTGGGAATTGATTTTGCTTTTTTTTCTGTCGCGTTTGTTCCGATGCCAGAGCAATTTCGCAATGAGTGTTGTCGCCACTAGAACGGAGACCCCTGTGGTATCTCATTCAATCACCGAGAATCAGGTCGACTGTTCCGTACATTCAAATGCCGTACATTCAAATGCTTCTCGAACCTCCTCGATATCGTCCTATAGAACCAACTATACCGCCTCAACCGCGCCCACCACATACTCCCCATCTTCCCCATCCTCGTCTTACCGCCAATCCGACTCTGTCAATTCTTTTTCCAAGTTAACTGAACCAATTCAGCGCCGAGTACCACACGAGGTCTATGAAGTGATAATCCACCATTTAGAGGAGTTACACAAAGGGCAGCACCAAGCAGGATGTACCACGTGTTTTCAACGAGACTTACACGCCTTATCCTTGACCTGTCGGTCTTGGGAAAAGGCGGTTAGAGGTCCTCTGTGAGTTTGGAGTCCAGTCTCCCCTTGGTTAATTCAAGGGCAGCAAGAAAACCAGGATTGTTCGCTGACTGAACATGCTATACTAGATATCACAGTATACACATTGTCGGAAATGATTCCCCGGCCCAACTCAAGAAATATCGTCTGAAGAGAGGGAGTCGTCTGAAGCTCCTCAGACGAACCCTCCGTGAACGGAAGTTGCTGGCCAACCTTGTATACGAACTACGGGTACCCCAATTAGATTTGCTCTTTACCACGACGAAGCAAGGCACGCAGTGGCAGGAGTACCGAGACCTGGTAGCGTCCGTGGTCATGGTATGCCCGAACTTGGAGCGCCTGTTAGGCTTGTCTATCCCGTATCACCATGAATTTGATCGTCTGACCCATGCTTTGTCGACCCGCAAAAAGCTCAAAGAGCACACATGGGTTTTGGGCGAGGCCGCGCAAGCATCGGAGCTGTCACCGCGTGACGACTCCTGTCCTGGGAGCCTTGGTCCCTCCCAAATGTTCGAGTTTCTGGATTTCCACACCTCGTGGACAAGTCTGGAGACACTAATGCTTTATGGGCTGAACGGAAATGGCGCACTGGAGCCTAGCATCTCCCTGCGCATGTTTAATCTTCTTCCCTCATTGCGCAACCTTTGCATAACTTCCTTCAATAAAGACTCCTTCGATGATAACACAATGATGTGTCTGCCACCATTGGAGTCTTTAAGGTTGGAGAACCTGCCCGGGGTTACAGATGCTGGTCTCTCGCAGTATACGACACGGCCGGAATCACTTTCCCTCAAGACACTCGTCTTAGTCGAGCAGAACATCGAGTCACTGCTAGTCATTTCCAAAATTCTTGCGTCACTACGACAACTTGAACGGTTTAAGATAGTCCAGACCGAAAAGTGCCCAACTTTGCCGGATGAACATATGATTTTCCAGCCTATTCTGGCCTCATCGACCCTAAAATATCTCCACTGGGATGTGGCATGCCCAGACCCAGGCATAGCTCTCACCCAGCTTGATACCCTCCCCTTCCAGAAATCCACAAAATCCTCCAATACCCCCAACTATCATCTTGCCCAAAGCATCATCTCCGCTGGGTTTCCTCAATTGGAAGCTCTCCGCGCACCCTCCGACGTGGAACCCCCAGGTGCGCTCCAGGCTGTCTGCCGGCCTATATTAAAAGGCCAAGCCTTACTCCGACCAGACCGGTACAGCTTGCCTCGCAGCTC